CGATCTGTGCTTCCGTGCAAGCACTGATCAGTGTTGGCACGATAAAGGTGTCACGGGGGTGAATCAACTTGCAGCTGCAATACTATGGTGAGGAAGCGGATTGATTGTCTTGTAGCTTCTATCGTGTCGAGTATCTACAGCTCCTACGCGCACGGGCCAATAGGCGGTGACAACGCCTCTGCCAGTGCCCGTGTCGACCAATCAGTGTCGCGGATCAGTAGGACTCAAAGTCGAGTCCTAATTGATTCCAACAAATAACTACTATATAATTTTTTACTATAGCTTAAGAAAGTAGTAGGCTATACTTAGTAAGTTTTTCTATATATTTTACTAGCTTAGATTCTTATAGTAGAGTAAGTAGTTAGTATTTTTTAGTAGCTACTATACGCGACGTTGTTTTATTTTAGTACTAGCGCGTTAATATTAAAACTTTAATACTAAACTCTTTTATAGCTATATAGTATAAAAGTTAACCTTCTAGACTTTATAAATTAATTACTATAATTACTTTTATAAGAGCTATTATAGTAGTAGAGATATCACGTGTTGAAAATGGTGGGTTGATATTTTGGGTGGGGCAGATAGTGTTGCATTGGCTGATTGTTGCATTGGGTGAGCACGGACAGTAGCGCCGAGTCTCGGCACCATGTGGGGAAAGCCAACCACCGGCCTTTGTACCCACCACTGCTCAACCTCAACCTATTTGGGCTATACAGGCACTCGAAAGCGTGATTGCCTGACAATATCTGGCTAGTTGCCTTCCAAATGCTGATCATCACACTAACTACTAGCACTCACTCGAACAGCCAGTCATGGCTTTACCAAAAGTAAAAAAAGGCCATCGAACCGCACTACTCTGACGCAGGATGTCTCCCTTCAAGAAACCGCGAAGCCAATGAAAGACTTCCATGAGCCTGGCGACTCATAGATTTCAAATTCTAACCACAACACCAAAAAAGCCGAGCCAGAAGCATCTCAAAGCACTTTGGACGACGCACTAGAGCAACTAATGGTCAACATGGTTGTGGATGTATGTCTAGCGGAGAACTCCATCGGCTAGATACAAAAAACACATTTACTATTAATGACATACCAGCATGATGCTGACCCATGTTTCTTCCAGCAACGCAAGCACCTCGCAGTCCGTAGGCAAGACATTGCTGAAGACTACATTGAGCGACGCGCAGTAGTCATAGACGACATCCACATAACCTTTGGCGACTTATAACAAGGAAGCGTGCGTGTCGTCGGCAACATGGCTTCGCTTCACAACCACTCGAACTAACGAGAATCACAGATCAGCAGCTCACAAGCGCAACTCAAGCGCCTCGAGGATCTGTTAGCACAGAAAGTCAACATCGAAGCTGCAATGGTGAAGCAGCTGGTCAGTCTGCACAAGACACACGATGCCCATTTGCGCCATCTTGAGACTGTCATTATTCGAAGACTCCACAACATGAAATGAGCGAAACTCGCATTATTTATCCCAAGAAAAATTGCAACAATAAGGCGCGAAAGTCGGGAATCCACATAAAAAAAGCATCATCAAGGTTGACACTTCCACTCGCTATACCTACCTACATACATACACATATACATATGGAATTAAATGTATTGCCTAATATCGTTCAAAAGGTATCATAGAAACCAAAACACCCTGACACTTCAGTATTGTCCTTTGCCCAACAAACAAACAGAAAATGAAGCAAGTAGATGACGACCGCTCTTTTTGAGAAAAAGGGAAAAAAAAAAGAAATAGGCGTGAGAAAACACCATGTTGAAAACCCCCCGCTTTGGGAAAATAGTAAGAGTAAACAAAAAAGGACAAGTCTATGCAACGCTTCATGCAAAAAGATTTGCGCACATTGCGTCTTTAATGAATCCAGAAACGCCAATGTCATGCATGTCACCTTCTGTACTCTGGTAACGCCTCACTTTGTCTTCTACTGCTCTCGGGTAGATCCTGTCGACTTCGGATCGGGCGGACTGCTTCAACAAGGTACTCGTCATCGTCATTCAGCATAGGCGCTGAAGGAGCCAAATGCGAGCTCGTTAGGGCGTGAGGTGGCAGGGCAGAGGGAACATTCGAAGGGCCGCCTTCGTCGTCATGGTCTGTAGGCGGCGCACTTCTTTCCATTTCCAGTCTTCGTCGTTGCAACTCCTGCTTGTCGTCTGTGGGCTCCAGGTGTGAGGACGACGAGGACATGTACTGTGGTGCAGAGCCATGTGGTGGCAGAGGAGGAAGAGGTTTGGACGAGTCGTCTCCATTGCCATTGGCTGAGGATGCTTGATGCTCTAAGCGTAGAGTATGCGAAGATCCGGTTGCGGAAGTTTTTGTTTCGTCGTCACCAGTGTTTGTAGCCCGGCGTTGCAATGAAGCCGCTGTTGGCAAGTGCGAAGACATTGCCTGTGACGATGTAGCCCGAAATGGCGGGGGAGGGTGAGCTGGAGTTGACGAAGATGAACTCGCTACATAGGAAGGATGAGGATCGTCTTCCTCGGGTAACACGGGCGCCGAAGCTGGTATGCCTTGTCGCTCGCCAACTAGAGGCCAGGATGGACCAGCAGCGCCTGGTGGTTGAGAAGGTAACAGGCGCTCCTCTGCTCGCCGTAATCGCTCCTTTTCCGATATCCCGTGCTCTTCCTCAGGTACGCTTCTTGGCACTGAGAAAGCAGTACTTGCGCCTGCGCCGTGTTGTTCATACCCAGGAACACTGTCGTAGCCCTGGTCGTAGCCGTAATCATAATATTGGCCGTGTTCGTCGTGGCCGTAATAATATGGGTCATATCCCTGCTCATCGTTTGGATCACCGTAACCTTGGTGATGAGAGCCGTTGTAGGCATCGTTGTGACCCGAGTAATTTTGTGTCTGCTTCCTTTTCCCGTTACGATCACTGTCTTTTGTGCCAATAATGACCTCGAACAAAGCGGATACAATACCCTTCTCACGCCGTATTTGGTCCGTGTCCACAAAGACACCACCCCAAGTTGAAAACATGCTGCCCGAGGCATCGTCACCTGCCGTAGCGGAACCACCAGCGGCCGACGGTACGTTGACTAAGCCAGCGTTTGCGACCATTCGGTCAAGACCAGTCAGCTTACCCTGGATGTCGACAACCACCTCGACGTAGTACTTGAATGAGATCATCGCGCCTGGAACGTTTGATATCGTCGGAAAAGCCTCGTCGGGTACGCGCACAGAGCATTTTATCTCGGCCGTCAGAGTCCTGGGATCAACAAAAAGAGGTGCAAAAGACTGACACAAGTCTTTGCGGAAAGTATGACTCGAGCCGGCAGACGAGAGGGACAAGCCACCGAGGCCGGTTCTGGATTTTGGATAGTAGTCCTCCGATTTGGTCTTATCTCCTTTGCTATTCGCAACCACCGGAAGTGCAGGGTGCATGTCGACTCGTGCAAGGCGATACAAGGTAATTATGATGCCCTTCAAACTGCGGATGTGTTTTGTGTGGTTGACTGTGACTTTGATTGGTATTTGATCACCCCTCAGAAAACCTCCCTTGAGTACATCAATCGTTGCCGTAATGGTCTTGCCTTTGGGGTTCGTCCGGCTGCCAGCTTGCGAAGGCGATCCGTCTGTGACAGTGTTGATTGAGCGAACGCCATACTCTGTTCCAGAAGCGTTTCCACTGCTTCTTTGGCTCCCGTAGCTCACGTCGCTTGGCGAAGGACTCCGGGCACCTTCCGTCTCATCGGCGATGGTAGATCGGTCCAGAGCGGATCCGCCTGGCAGCGGATTTGTAGCGTCGGGTGTTTGTGGTACTACTCCTCCTTCTGCTGGCCGTTTTCGCGGGGGCTTGTTGCGTGTTCTTCTGGATATAGGCTCAAGTGAGATGACGCGGGGTTTGAGCTGGGGAACGGGCGCAATGTCGATTGTGTCGGTGAGGTAGACCTTGGTGTCGCACGAAGCGGTTGGGGATATTGTGGTGGGGCGGGTCAGGGTAGCATTAAGCATGTAAGATATAGTTCCGCGCTCAAACTGCATTCTACAATTAGCAAGCGCGTCGGTTGGTGCACGTTAGGACGGCTTACGTCGATGCTGCTGGGCAAGCCCTTGGAGGGGAATTCAAGCTCAAAGTTGAAGTGGTATATACCTTCGGCTAGCCTGCCTTCTCCGCACAAGACGACCTCGTCCTCGAAGAGGGAGACGAAGCCATTGCCAAAGTAGCTGCCTGCCTTGTTCGCCCTGCCGTTACCGACGCTGGAGCAGTAGTTTTTGTAGGCGTCGCCGGGGGTGTTTGGGTTCTTGAAGACTTGGGCATAGCCGTGCAGGGAGACGACCAGGTGGGTGATTCTTAGCGGCTTGACAATCTTGATGATGACGGTGCCGCTGATGACATCGCCGGGCGTGTAGTGGCGGTGGGGGTCGTCGGACTGGATGTAGAACTCGGTGTAGTTGCGCGACTTGGAGGACAAGGGCGACTTGAAGCGGGACAGAAAGGACCTGGCGGAGACTGGCGAGGACGGCGTGGCGGAGGAGCGTGTCTGGCTGGAAGTCATACTCCGTGTGGTGCGCGCATTGTGCGGCCGCCCGCGAAGTCTGTGTGTCTGCGGTCTAATGGGCGGTAGCAGCCGGCCAGGGGGGTGGGCGGGCGAGGGGCCAGGAGGTTGCGGCGAGAATGGGATGGAGGGGTCGAGGGCGGCAGCAGAGAAAAAGGGACTGCAGCAGTGACAGGGGACGCGCTCAGGTCGAGGACATATGGCGTATGCGTGCGTGCGCGAGCAGGAGCAGGAGCGGCGGCGGCAGCAGCAGCAGCAGTGGCTTGGGGAGTGGCGCCCTCGACGGCGACGCGCAATCGTCTCAGGTGGACGGGGGGCTGTGGCGCGGCGGGTTGCGTGTGGGATTGATTATTATGATTATGGCTGTGATGGCAGACTGGATAGCGCGAGGCTGCAGTCAGCATTGCGGACAGCAGCAGTGAAGGGCAGGAAGAGCGGTATGCTGCGGAGGCATCGCGGGACCCACGCGGGGAGGGAGGGAGCGAGGGCGAGCGAGGGCGAGGGATGGTGGCAGTGCTCTCTAGCGTCGCCGTGGGCAGTCGGGCAGTCGAGCCCGACGAGCACGGTGCGGCCACATGGCATGCATACACAGTAGTGCTTGAGTACTTGTATGCCCATGTGTACTATGTACCGTGCAGCGTGCAGTGCTCTCTATACCATACCACCCACACATACACGGAACATGGTGGGGTAGCCGGCTGCAAAGACTGGACGGATGGATCGTCGCTCTTACGTACCGCCTGGATCGCTGCACAAGGCTTGTTCAGAGCCGCACTGCTCTTGGCGCAGTACAGTGTCGTCGAGCCGGCGTGCCAAGGAGGGGGAGCATACATACAGTACGTGTAGTGTACACAGTAGTCTGCGCTGCGGCGTGTCTGGTGGGCGAGGCGAGGCGGACGGCTTGGGGCTCTCGACGCTTTGCTGCTTTGCGGGCGGCTACCAGCTGCTATTTGATGCCAGACACTGCTGCACCGCTGCCCTCTCTACCCGAGACTGAACTAGGCCGCCCTCCTCAGCCTGCACGCCATCCATGCCTGCACCTGTCTGTCCGTGTGTGTGTGCGTGTGCACTTGCAAATACGCCGGCCCAGCTTCCCCGTCCATCGCATCCCCCCCC